GATTTTATAGTATCCTTCCCCCAGGAGTGGGGTGAGAATGGAGATTTTATAGTATCCTTCCCCCAGGAGTGGGGTATCCTTCCCCCAGGAGTGGGGTATCCTTCCCCCAGGAGTGGGGTGAGAATGGAAATTTTATAGTATCCTTCCCCCAGGAGCGAGGTGAGAATGGGGATTTTATAGTATCCTTCCCCTGCCACGCCCACCAAGCCATGCCCACAGAACCAGTAGTAAAAATGTCTGAATCCCACCACTGGACCTATCAAGAGAAAGAGAACAATGCCTGAAGGTACACAGCGTGCAGGAAATCCTGGAGAATACTGTGAAGCAGAACAGCAGTGGTGGCTCCACTTCTGGACAAGTCTTGGTATTGCCAAGGGTCACTGTTCAGTCTGGCCAGGATGGGAAAGGGGGGGGGGGGGGGAAGGGAACTGTTTCTCATTTGTTCAGAGGGTAGGTGGGTGTGATAGGCCAGAAGAGTCAAAACTTAGGCATTTTCCAAACTTCTGACCCACAAAAGTTTGCCATCACTGTACTAGTACCGTAAAGTGACCACCGCCAGAGTGACCCCCAACCAGCCACCAGGGGGGGAAGTGCAAGGTGAAACTTACCGAGTGCCTCTGCTGTCAAGAAGATGAGCATGATGGGAAATAGCAGGATGCAAAAATTGACACACACAAAAAAAAGGAAAATAAAAGAAGTCAAAACCAGCACTCCAAGGGTTCAAGCATCATTCTAAGCCTGAAGAGAAACACACTGAATCCCAGCTCCATTTTTTTTCCAACAAAACCTTTTGCGTAAGTCTTTTCCAACGCAACATGATTCATATCTTGACAAATTGGAACAGGAACCATCTAAAAAAGATCTCAGAAGAATCGTATTCTGATCCTTCAAATCATGACTCAGAAGATCCTTTTCTGTTTACCTCCTTCCACCCCCACCCCCAAATCCTTTGGCCAAAGCGAGCCATAAAATACCAGCAAAGCAAAGTCCAAAGAGACCCAATGCCCTAAGCTAGAATTTGAAAAATGATCCCATGAAATGGATTCGCAAACGATGGGTCACAAATCGAACATTTTACCGCTTGGCACAAAGCGGTTCCTGGTTCAAAAAATTTTAGTTAAGAGGAATAGAAGTGGAGACTGGAAAGGCGACAGAGAAGGGGGGTGGGGAAACAAAGGCGTATATTAAACCTTCAGTTAAGTGGCTCCTGTTGAAAAGAGCCTTCAAAGGGGGCTTTTCAAACCTCTATCCTCTAGGAAAATTGGATTATAAATACTATTATTCAGTAAGCTTCAGTAGTTTGCCTGTGTTTTATCCCTGCTGTGTCCTGCATGGGCTCCCCACTTTTATCCAGCTGCAATTCAATACTACATTAATAGCCAGCTTACCTGTGCAGACATCACTCCCTAAAGAGGATCTAGCCATCCCGTTAGATTAGATATAGGGTGGGTTCAACTCCAGGTCCCCTCTATTAAATCTGATCTTTAGGCAGAAGCAGTGCTTTTTGTAGCTCTACCTACAAAATGGAACAACCTCTCCCTGATGTTGGGTTAAGAGTTTGAATCTTTCCTTTTTATGATTTATGCATTTTTGCTGGCCATCTAGGGTTCATGTATATAATAAGCAACCACACTTTTTTAAAAAATAAATAAGCGACAATGGCCCACAAAAGGCAACAGAGATGTACCGTGTAACAATTGCACCCCAACACAATTACAAAACATTAGCTATGCTTGCTGCTGTGGTTATCATTTGCTTTCTGGGCTCAATATTGCTTTCTGGGCTCAATATAAAGCAATTTTGTTCAACCTCATATATTAACAATTCATCGGCGGCAAACCAATAAAACTGGAGTTGGCCAAATACTTATCTCCGTATTGTGTAGGGTTTTTAAAAAAAATTTATTTTATCCCACGTGTTTTGTATTCTTTGAACAGTTGGAATAGTTTCTGAAGCTTATAACAAACTTGCCATAACTATATTTTAATAGATCTAGGAGAAAAAAAAAATCCAAGAGAATTTACAGTCCTGATCTGATTTTACAACCGTTTACAGCATCCCCCTGTCACATGACTGCAGCTTAACAAAATTGTTCCCGAAAACCAGCATTTTATTTCTGGTTTAGAAGTCGTGATGATTACAAAGTAGGTCATCCCATAACTGACCTTTTTTTTTTTTGGACAGCATTCGTTAAAGGAGCACTCCGGCTATTAAATGAAACTGGTTCCCTTTGGGGCATTTTGCCAAAAACTGAAAGTACAGGAAATCCTCTATTCACAACAGTGACCATTCAAAATTATAACAGCACTGGGGGGAAAAAATGTGACTTATGGCCGTTTTTTTCCCCACACTTACAACCGTTGCAGCATTCCCAACTGTCATGTGATCAAAATTCAGCCGCTTGGCAACTGGTTCATATTTATGACGGTGGCAAGTGATCAGCTTTTGCGACCTTCTGACATTTGCAAACTCAATGGGGAATGCAGATTCACTTAACAACTGGGACAAAAAAAGTCGTAAAATGGGACAAACTCGCTTAGCAACATAAATTTTGGGCTCGATTGTGGTCATTAACTCGAGGACTTCCTATAAATGTTGGGTTTCGGCAAACATGCTTTAAATTGCGGCCGTGTGAATGTGGGACACTGTGAAGAGCCATAAATGGGAGTCAGCTGCCCAGCAGCCAAAATATCACATGACCAGGAAGGCAGCTGTCAGAACTTCATAACTGAGTCTTAAGTGTTTTTAGGGGTGTCCATCATAACTTTGATGGTGGCTAAGCAACTGATTATAAGCTGAGGACTACCTATATTGTACTTCACTGTCTTTTAAGACAGGGGTCCCCAACCACCGGGCCCCGGACCCGTACCGGTCCGTGGAACATTTTCTACCGGGCCGCCGGTTTGCTGGGCGCCGCCATCTTGTTTTGATGAGAAAGTGCTTCCGGTGAGCTTTTCTGGTTGGAAAGCAGCATTTGGGTCCTGAAGAAATCCTCGCACCTTAGTTTCATCGAAGGGGGGGCGGCTTCGAACAAAACTAAGGCGCGAGGATTCTTTCAGCACCCAAGGAGAGCCGAGCGACCGTCCCGAAGCCATCCCAAAGCCCATCGACAAAGGTACAAAGGAGGAGTTGAAGGTGGCGGGGAGAAGTGGGGGACGGCTGGCTGGCTGGTCGCTCGGCTCGCCTTGCCATGCGTGCTGATGCCGGTACCGGGCCGTGGATCATTTTGTGATGCCGGTACCGGGCCGTGGCACAAAAAAGGTTGGGGGCCACTGTTTTAAGAGATTTTTCCCTTGCTCTTTTCTTTACTGAAGCTTGCGAAGAATTGGGAAAGCCACATTCAGCCTTCAAATCTTCCCTGGGATGAATTTTAACTAATTATTTCCAACTTCTTCAGAAACACACATATGTCTGCTGTTGTCCTTTTTGTTCACGCTTTTAAAACACAGTACTCCTTTTCCAGGGAGTGTCACAAAATGTAGTAAAAATAATCAACACGATGGCCACAAGAGTACAATTAAAGCTTTGACTGTTTTGTTTTGGTTTTTTCCTTAATTTACACATTGCACATGTGAGGCATACAGCCAGTTTGGTGGGTTAAGGCACCAAATTAGAAAACAAGAGACTGTGTATTCTAGTCCTGCTTAAGCATGAAGCCAGCTGGGTGACTTTAAGCCGGTCAATGACTCTCGGCCCAAGGAAGGAGGCAATGATAACCCATTTCTGAAATCTTGCCAAGAAAACTGCAGGGACCTGTCCAGGCAATTGCCAGGGGTCAATACTCTCTCAAAGGCCTGTGCATGCATGAGCACGCACACACACACACACGTGTGATACACAGTAAAAACAGGTGGAGCTTCCATCACAATGCTGCAGCTATCTGTAGCTTATGGCCACAGCTAACTTTGCACCTTTTTTTTTGATTCATAGTACGATATTCAACAACTGCTTTTTAAAACTGTGATAGATGCTATACCGCAACATTCACTGCAGTGACTTACAGTAGATTCCTCCCCCTTCTTCCTTCCTTTCTCCCCCAAATTAATTTCTTCTTAAATGGGTTTTAAAAGGATTGCTCATTTTTAGCTACAAATACTTCCAGATGTTGCTTCTGAATTGCTACCAAGAAAAAGAACTCTTGCCACGGACAATATACTTTTCCAGTGAGATACTTTCTGTTGGAAGACTTTTGGAAATGCTTTGCCAGAAAGTAAAATAACTCCCGCTTATAACCTCTTTGCATCTGTCAGCGGCAACCAAAATGGTTACTCTCTTCTTTGAAAGGAGGGGATACCATAATTGCCCATCGTTAAAAAGTCTAGTTCAGCAGCTGACCTAAAAAATAATTGGGCTGGGAAAAAAATGCATAAGAGAAAAAAGAAAGGTACAACTAATCCTTTGGAAATTCTTCTCAAAATATGCTTTAAGATCTAAAGTGTTGCATACACCGGTTTTTGTGCTAGTTTCAATATATTACAGGTTACATTACTCAATTTACAAGCATTTGTTTAGTAACCATCAAGTAAAAATGGCACTTGAAGAAGTGACTTAGTCCAGTGGTGCGTTTCAAATGTTTTTACCACCGGCTTGGTGCAGGGGAGGGATTCAAAATTTTTAACAACCGGTTCTGTGAGCGTGGCTTAGTTAGTGGGCATGGCTTGGTGGTCATGTTATTGGCTGGGTGTGGCCAACTCAATATCACTCACTTCGAGGAACGCATCTCCTCGCCTGGCCTCTCATGACTGCGGGGATGCTGCAACAGTCGTAAGTATGAAAAATGGTCATAAGTCACTTTTTTCAGTGCCATTGAATGGTCACTCCACACAAGCAAAGTACCAGCAGAGGGGAAAAAAACTCCAGAGAAGTTCCTGAGACAGGAAGTCTAGTCCTGCCAAGAAGGGTTAATGGAGAGGCAGTTTCTGTAAGCAACACCAGAATGTTTCCTTCCTGCCTTCCTTACAGGATTAGTCCAGTAATTTCTTCTAACAACTGTTTCTCCAAACTGCTTAGAATGTTAACAACCGGTTCTAGCGAATAGGTGCGAACTGGTAGAATCCCACCCCTGGTTTGGTGGGTGTGGCTTGGTGGGGGCACTTTGCTCGCGCGCACATGCCAAATGCGCACTTTGCCCAAGAGCAGGGGCTTTCTGACTCACCTCCTGCAAGCCTGCATTCTCCCGGTCGCTTCAGCAGCTGCCGTGCAACAATCTGCTTGCCGCGCAAAGCAGCTGCGGTTCAAAAGCAGGACATAAAGGTTAGTATGGGAGGCCGGGCAGGCGGGTGTGGGTGGGCCCAACAACAGAGCATTGGAGAGAATCCGTTCGGTCTCCGCTGCTTATCAGCACTACCGGTTCAGGAGAACCGGGCCGAACTGGTAGAATACCACCACTGACTTAGTCCCTCTTAAAACGGTCGCATCCCCACTGTCACAGTGATCAAAATTTGGGCTCCTGGCAACTAAGATTTACTTAAAATGGTTGCAGCACCCTCAGGTCATGTGATCACCAGCCAGCTTCCAATGGGAGACACCGCATTGGCTTAACGATCCCATGATTCACTTAACAAGTGCAGTGATTCATTTAACAACAAAAAAGGCCATGAAATCAGATGCAACTCACTTAACCACTACCTTGCTTAGCAACAGAAACTCGGTTCCCCATTGTGGTTGTAGGCTGAGGACTATCAGGTTTGTATTGTCTGTTCAAACAAGATTTTAGAGCAGTGGTTTTTTTCAAACTTGGCAACTTTAAGACGTGTGGACTTCAATTCCTAGAATTCCCCAGCTAGTGAGTCTGCCTAGAGAATTCTGGGAATTGAAATCCACTCATCAAATTTGTCAAGTTTGAAAGACAATGCTCTAGGACTAATCCTACATCAGGACCCAAACAATACTGATTTTTTTTTTAAAAAAAACATAGCTTTGAACTTCACAAAATTCAACAGGGCAGTCATGTATTCACACTTTTTTGTCTTCTTAATTTCAAGCAAAAGCAAACGGGAAGAGTTAAGGATCTACTAATAAACCTTTACAGATATAACTTACTTAAAAGTTAAAGATATAACTGAAACACTTCGATAGCCGCTACCAGAGGCTATTCAGTCCCGTTATTCTTTTAAAATGTAAATTATCTCAAATTTAAGCTAAAACCAAATCTAATGAATAGAGGATCCCTTTGTAATGTGAGGTTTTAAAGTTTAGGTCAAGAAAAGGGAACCTGGGTTGCAAAGGCAGAACAGTTGCAATATTTAATTTTCACTGAACAGCTGAGCTTGTTAATCTCAAGGGGTCTACAAAAGGGCCAAGCAGATTAGCAGATTAGTCTTTACAAGCAAGATCAGCAGAAAATTCTAGTACTGTAGATCAGAAGGCAGCAATAACAAAATAATTCTGTCCTGTTGCAATAGTGATATATTTATCCAGTCACCAAAGGTCAAGCTTGGCCCAAAAGCTTTTTTACCTCATACTTAGACCTCAGCCTAACGGAGGCTTATCTGGAAAATCTACAAGATAATTCAGCTCCAAAAAGTCCTGCCCCACTCTCAGAAGGCTGGGTCAGGTAGTCCTCAACTTATAACAGTTCATTCAGTGACCCTTCAAAGCTGCAACGGCACTGGAAAATGTGACTTATGACCATTTTTCACACAAACATTCCATCATCTCCACAGTCGCGCGATCAAAAATTTTGTTTGTCAAAAGGTCGCAAAAGGTGATCGCATGACTCCAGGTCACTGCAATGGTCATAAGTATGAAGCCGCTGCCATGCATCTGAATTTTGATCACACGATCATGGGGATGCTACAAAGGTTGTAAATGTGAAACAGGGCTGTTGTAACTTTGAACGGTCACTAAATGTTGAAAGTCAAGGATTTACCTATATATTAACAGGTTCCCAGCATACTATGTGGTAGTCAGCGTGATTGTTGCATTTCAGTAATCTTCCAACACAGTGATTTTCAATAGATTGATAATTTTGCAAAAAGAAGCTGTTATTTGTTTCGATATTATTACACACCCTCTTCACAGGAAGATTCTCAGCAGTTACATCAGTACACTAAAAGCCCGTTGATCTAGTCTTCAAAGCACCTGAGGGTAGGACACGAAGCAACAGAATGGAAACTAATCAAGGAGAGATTTCCTATCAGTGAGAGTAATTGATCAGTAGAACAGCTTGTCTCCAGAAATGGTGGGTGCTCAATCACTGGAGGCTTTTAAGAAGGTTAGACAGGAATAGCAAGAGCAAGAACACTTATATATCGCTTTACAATGCTTTACCAGCCCTCTCTAAGCAGTTTACAGAGTCATCCTACAACAATCTGGGTCCTCATTTTACCCACCTCAGAAGGATGGAAGGCTGAGTCAACCTTGAGCCTGGTGAGATTCGAACTGCCAAATAGCTGGCAGCCGGCAGTCAGCAGAAGTAGCTGCAGTATTGCATTCTAACCTCTGCGCCACCTCAGCTCAGTATAGGATGGTATAGGGCCGTGGTGGCGAACCTATGGCACACATGCCAAAGCCATTTCTGCCGACAGGTGAGCCGTGCCCGGAACAAATCCACTGCGCATGCATGCGTGCCTCCCACCAGCCAGCTGATTGTTGGGTATCTGCCACGTGGGGAGCGGGAGGCACGCACAGCGGGTGTTGCGTGTGCATGCGCAGGGGGATGGGGAGGTGTCACACGCGCATTGCATTATGGGTGCAGGCACGCGACGGCAAAAAGGTTAGCCATCACTGGTATAGGGTCTTCTGATTGAGATGGGGATGGGATTAGAAGACCTCTAAGGTCCCTTCCAATCCTTGATATTCTGTAACTTCAGTTAAAACTTGCATGCCAACCATTTTTGGGCTCCAAGTGGGAGCGTTTAAATACTAAAACGTGTGTGTTACTTGAAGAATAGAGATCTTTCCTTTTCTTGTGAGTAAAATGTTGTGGCCCTGTTTCCCCAATATTTCCCCAATTTCTTGAAATAAAAGGCAAGGATTCTCTAACCGAAGTGATTCGCTTGGAGAAGGGGGACATTTCCCCATAATTTTCTAACTGATTATTTCTCAGTAGCACGTCTGTTCTAATTAAGAAAATATAATGTACAAACGCAGCTTTCAATTCTGAATTTAAAAAAAACATGCCTTTGACAATGCAAGAAACACTCCTATACCAGGCATGATATTCCCCTCTGAAAAAAAAATCGGGCCCGGCCAAGAGACCCCCCACC